CCGCGGGAGGGAAACGCCCCTCTGCGCGGGGGCCCGGTGGGCGGGCGAGCCGCGTGCGCCGCCTCCCTGTGCGGTGTGGGAGGGGGAGTGTTCGTGGCCATCACGGTAGTGGGTGAACCTGGGGTTGAACTTGACTCACCGGAAACTGAACAATGGGTGAAAGGCAGGTTTGAAGGCTGGCGCCTGTGCCGGGAAGCCTGGAGGCCGCGTGTCACACCGGAGCGACGGGGCGGGAAGCGCGCGGGGGGGGGCCGGGGGAGACAGAATCGATAGAGCTGGAATCAGATCGGGGGCTAAGTGGAGGAAAGGTGATGGGTGAGAGGATCAGCCCCATTAGCTTTGCATGCAGAGGGGAGGCTGGCTTAGGTCCGGCCCTCCTGAAATCTAGATGGCTGACTGAGGAATGTACACTTGGTCAGTCAACAAACATTAGTCGGAGGTGCCGTGCTCCATTGTAGTGTGCCAAGTCCTACGAAGATCATTTGAACAAGTCCTTGACCTCTAGTGTTGAACAAAGTTAACCCTGAGTGGAGGATGCAGAGGAAAAGGAAAGGCCCGGGTTTTTGCTAGCCTAGTCTTCTGGAAAAGTTACAGTACATTTCCTAGCCCGTGAATAACTAGACAATTGAATAGCTCTATAGACAAGGTTATCATTTCTAATCCAAAAAAATCTAGAGTAGGAAATGCTCCAAAAATCTAAAACTTTTTGAGCTACAATGTAGAAAATTCCATACCTGATCTTATGATCTGTGACCTAGGTCAGAGTCATATCACAGACACACTGAAAATATTGTATAAAATTACCATCAGGCTAAGGTATAAAGGAAACAAATGAATTTTATGTTTAGGCAGGAGTCCCATCCTTAAGAGGAGCTGTTCCAAAATCTGAAACCCAAAACCCAAATATTCTAGACCTGCTGGCTTGTATCCCTGCTCCATTACCTTCCATGGCTCCCTATTGCCCATCACAGTGGGCATAAACTTCTCAGCCTCTGCATTTCAGGCTCTCCACGTACCTGCTCTAGCCACATCCCTCAGGATTCCTGCCCAGACACCCATTAATAAACCAGTCAAGGGCTGGGTGTGGTGCACATGACTATATTGCCAGCACTGGTAGGCTGGGGCAGGAGGATTGCCATGAATTTGAGGCCAGCCTGGAATAGATAGTTCAGGGACAGCCTGAACTACATAGTAAGACCCTGTCTTAAAAATAAAATA